TTGATTTTTTAGTGATACGACCAAAGTCAACAAAAAAGAACTCACCAATATGCACAAAAATTACGGCATATATAGTCCAAAGTGACCTCCATCGAATGGTGGTAGTCGCTATTCATGACACTTCTGCGTTTTTGGTACAGCTGCCATATTGATATTCAAATGCCTATCTCGCTAATGTTAACACTGACTGACTTGGATGGGCATAACTCCAAAAGTACATCTCTGATCTTGTTAAACTTTTAGTGGCACGTTAGCAAGGCCCTGGGGCAGCTTTTGGTCAAGTGCCTACCCATGACGCTTTCTCAAAACTTTTGTACGCGGGTTTGAAAATTTGATATTTTTGGTCATACGGCCAAAGTCAACAAAAAAGAACTCACCAATATGCACAAAAATTACAGGATATATAGTCCAAAGTGACCTCCATCGAATGGTGGTAGTCTCTATTCATGACACTTCTGCGTTTTTGGTACAGCTGCCACATTGATATTCAAATGCCTATCTCGCTAATGTTAACACTGCCTGACTTAAAGGCCAATAACTCCCAAAGTACATCACCGTTCTCTTTCATCTTTTGATGACACGTTTGCAAGGCCTTAAGGCAGTTTTTGGTCAAGTGCCTACCCATGACGCCTTCTCAAATCGTTTGTACGCGGGTTTGAAAATTTGATATTTTTCAAGATATAAGGCTTTTCAAGATATAGGGCCTTGCTAACGTGCCACTAAAAGTTTAACAAGATCGGAGATGTACTTTTGGAGTTATACCCTTCCAAGTCAGTCAGTGTTAACATTAGCGAGATAGGCATTTGAATATCAATGTGGCCGCTGTACCGAAAACGCAGAAGTGTCATGAATAGCGACTACCACCATTAATTGGAGGTCACTTTGGACTATATATGCCGTAATTTTTGTGCATATTGGTGAGTTCTTTTTTTGTTGACTTTGGTCGTATCACCAAAAAAAATCAAAATTTCAAACCCGCGTACAAAAGTTTTGAGAAGGCGTCATGGGTAGGCACTTGACCAAAAACTGCCTTAGGGCCTTGCACACGTGTCATCAAAAGATGAAAGAGAACGGTGATGTACTTTGGGAGTTATTGGCCTTTAAGTCAGGCAGTGTTAACATTAGCGAGATAGGCATTTGAATATCAATGTGGCTGCTGTACCAAAAACGCAGAAGTGTCATGAATAGAGACTACCACCATTCGATGGAGGTCACTTTGGACTATATATCATGTAATTTTTGTGCATATTGGTGAGTTCTTTTTTGTTGACTTTGGCCGTATGACCAAAAATATCAAATTTTCAAACCCGCGTACAAAAGTTTTGAGAAGGCGTCATGGGTAGGCACTTGACCAAAAGCTGCCCCAGGGCCTTGCTAACGTGCCACTAAAAGTTTAACAAGATCAGAGATGTACTTTTGGAGTTAGTCCCATCCAAGTCAGTCAGTGTTAACATTAGCGAGATAGGCATTTGAATATCAATATGGCAGCTGTACCAAAAACGCAGAAGTGTCATGAATAGCGACTACCACCATTCGATGGAGGTCACTTTGGACTATATATGCCGTAATTTTTGTGCATATTGGTGAGTTCTTTTTTGTTGACTTTGGCCGTATCACCAAAAAAAATCAAATTTTCAAACCCGCGTAAAAAGTTTTGAGAAGGCGTCATGGGTAGGCACTTGACCAAAAACTGCCCCAGGGCCTTGCTAACGTGCCGCTAAAAGTTTAACAAGATCGGAGATGTACTTTTGGAGTTATACCCATCCAAGTCGGTCAGCGTTAACATTAGCGAGATAGGCATTTGAATATCAATGTGGCCGCTGTACCAAAAACGCATAAGTGTCATGAATAGGGACTACCACCATTCGATGGAGGTCACTTTGGACTATATATCCTGTAATTTTTGTGCATACTGGTGAGTTCTTTTTTGTTGACTTTGGCCGTATCACCAAAGATATCAAGTTTTCAAACCCGCGTACAAAAGTATTGAGACGGCGTCATGGGTAGGCACTTGACCAAAAACTGCCACAGGGCCTTGCTAACGTGCCAGTAAAAGTTAAACAAGATCTGAGATGTACTTTTGGAGTTATACCCGTCCAAGTCAGTCAGCGTTAACATTAGCGAGATAGGCATTTTAATATCAATGTGGCCGCTGTACCAAAAACGCAGAAGTGTCATGAATAGGGACTACCACTATTCGATGGAGGTCACTTTGGACTATATATGCCGTAATTTTTGTGCATATTGGTGAGTTCTTTTTTGTTGACTTTGGCCGTATCACCAAAGATATCAAATTTTCAAACCCGCGTACAAAAGTTTTGAGAAGGCGTCATGGGTAGGCACTTGACCAAAAACTGCTTTAGGGCCTTGCTAACGTACCACTAAAAGTTTAACAAGATCGGAGATTCACTTTTGGAGTTATACCCATCCAAGTCAGTCAGCGTTAACATTAGCGAGTATAGGCATTTGAATATCAATGTGGCCGCTGTACCAAAAACGCAGGAGTGTCATGAATAGCGACTACCACCATTCGATGGAGGTCACTTTGGACTATATATGCCGTAATTTGTATGCATATTGGTGAGTTCTTTTTTGTTGACTTTGGCCGTATCACCAAAAAAAACCACATTTTGAAACCCGCGTACAAAAGTTTTGAGAAGGCGTCATGGGTAGGCACTTGACCAAAAACTGTCCTAGGGCCTTGCTAACGTGTCACTAAAAGTTTAACAAGATCGAATATGTACTTTTGGAGTTATACCCATCCAAGTCAGTCAGCGTTAACATTAGCGAGATAGGCATTTGAATATCAATGTGGCCGCTGTACCAAAAACGCAGAAGTGTCATGAATAGAGACTACCACCATTCGATGGAGGTGACTTTGGACTATATATCCTGTAATTTTTGTGCATATTGGTGAGTTCTTTTTTGTTGACTTTGGCCGTATGACCAAAAATATCAAATTTTCAAACCCGCGTACAAACGATTTGAGAAGGCGTCATGGGTAGGCACTTGACCAAAAACTGCCCCAGGGCCTTGCAAACGTGTCACCAGAAGATGAAAGAGAACGGTGATGTACTTTGGGAGTTATTGGCCTTTAAGTCAGGCAGTGTTAACATAAGCGAGATAGGCATTTGAAAATAAAAATGGCCCCTGTACCAAAAACGCAGAAGTGTCATGAATAGTGACTACCACCGTTCGATGGAGGCTGCTTTGGACTATATATCCTGTAATTTTGGTGTATATTGGCGAGTTTTTTTTGATGACCTGCCACTATATGACCTTGAATGACCTTCAAAAGGAAAACAGGTATATCTCGTAAACTATTGAGTGTCATGTATTGGGATATATATTTTCAGAATCAGGGCTTTCCTGGCTACACGATGGTAGCCAAAACTTTGCATTTGGTGAGTTTTTTTGAATGTGCATTTGAAAGTGAATCTGAATATCATAGCACTTGATGCACGTTTATCGCTTGTCACCACTTTTTCGTCGCATGTTTATTAATCCCACCCAGAAATGACAAACAAAGCCTCTGATTGGCCAGTTTTGGCTGACAGACGCAGAATATTTGTCAGCAATAGAATACTATGCTTTAGCACGTTTTCAATAATGACGCATCCGTTACATTTACAGGTTAGGGCAGCTAAAATATTGTAATGGATCTAACATGTTAAATATAACACTTTTGGAAACCCGTAGAGATTGTTTCTAGTGAGTTAGGTGTTACAAAGTATTAAAAGAAATGATTGTTATCTGTTAAATAAAGAACAAAAGCTTTTAGCTACTAACATCCGCCTGACAGTCTCCAGAATCCTGCGTACGGGGACACCGCAGTCTGTTTCTTATGCTATCGCAATGGGGAAAAATTGAAATTTTAAATGAGTCAGTATCGTGTTAAGAAGTACTGATGCTTTCAAAACAATTTTAATTCAATTTTGTTTAATTCAATTCCTTTCAATTAAAATTCCAGAATATCCTTTCGCGGAAATAGTCCCTTCTCAGCCTGTCTCTAACGCTACAAGTCTGAACAGTGAGCGTCTCATGCGTTGCTCACGTATCGCGATAAAAAGGACGGTGTCATATGATCAAATGAACTTTTCTTATGCATAGAGCATTTGAAACCTCACACCAAACGCCTCCCTTCCTTGTTTTCCACTGCTGCCTTTCACATACCTTACCTAGTACCTACCCAAAGACCGTTCCAGCTCGACGTTCCTTATCGACTGCCTCACATTCAACGGCCATATCCCACCTACGCTGAAAACCAATCGGAGGCACTTTCAATCGTCCCTTGAATAAAATTGCTACCTACACGCATTTAGAGGAGAACGAGGCCCAGAAAAGGCGTGCATAAAACGATCGGTTTCGGCCCCTATGGAATAAGCCAGGAGGTAAAATCATATTGATTGAAGAACATTTTCGAGGACATGATATCTATCAGATATTATTTTGCAAAGGTATTGTGAACATAACGTCCGCGTATCGCAGCTCTGAATCTGCTGGTGTCAGTCCCATCCAGCAGCCACCGGACCACTGCCCCGCCGCCTGCCGTTCGCTGATCATACAGGCCGGCTGTCCCAGTGTCTCATCAAACGATCACAGCTGACTTATTATTTATAAAATGCCAAACAAAAACAGACACCCAATATTGTAGATCACGCCAGCTCTTTCAGTCATGCGCGTGGAGATATATCGGTAGTTTTCCGATCACAGATCACACTGAACAGAGGAAAAGCGTACACACGCAGCAATAAATAATACATTATCAAGTACACCGATCGATGCATCGTGGAATACACCGAAAAAAATACATCACTGCTTTAACGTTCCCCAGGTGGGTGGGCCGTGGGGGCGTTTTTGGCCACACCTGACAATTTTGTGCTTGCATAGATAAAACGACACGAAACTTAGTATAGCTTATGTATAATGCATCGATTCGCATCAATTGTGAAAAAAGTAACCCCATGTCACCTAAGGTCAGGTCAGGTCACCATGAAGTAGAAGTTTGAAACTCGAGCTATTGCATGAGAGAATCAGTACCAACATCTTGAATATCTTTAATTTTGATATCGGTGGTGACCTAGGGTCAGGTCAACTTTGCGACGTCTCCAGTTTCAGTCAGTATGAGGAACTCGAAAGACGAAATGTTCTGCTTTTGAAACAAAAGCACTCAAACATCGGGATCTATCGTATGCTCCTGAGGTCATCTCAGGTCATGTAACGCCTCCCAAGTCCCAACAGTTTATTTTTGTACATCGATTTTAGATGGAACGTGGCCAGAGCGCTAAAAGCATCATAATCATAGGCGGCGGAACAGGTCGAGGGCACCGGGGCACCGTGCCCCCTTTGATTTTGGCATTTTAACATTAGCCCTATGGCCGTTGCATGGAAAGAATGAGACCAAAAGTCGGCAATGCCCCCTCGATTGAAGGTGTTCCGCCGCTACTGATGTTAATCTCAATTTCAATGTAACGAATCAATGACATGCAAAATGGCATTTTCTACGACATTGACCTGAGGTCAAATTTATTAAGCTGACCTTGTTAGGCCAAGAAGACGAGAGAAACGCAGTGCCGGTAAAATCAACGTAATAAAAGGTTGGTATCAGTTTAAATTTTTTTAAAGAAAAGATGACTTCCGAAGCAAGCCGATTGTTCAGTTTTTGCCCTTTGGAGGCTTAACCCTAGTTGACCTTAGCTCAAATCTGATAACCTGAAAGATTTTCGAAAGAGCTATCGAATTCGCTTTTCCGCGGCGCTGTAGCTTCTTTGGTTCCCGAATTATGAACCAATTTGTGAAGTTGTCAAAATCGGGGGCCAAAATTCGTCATCATTTTACTTTTGGTGACCTCCAGTGACCTCAGCGATGACCTGATCAAAAATGACCTGTATGATTCTGAAGAAAAATAGCGATCTATAGATTGATTTTACTGCGTCTTTCCAGCTTTGCTACATTCCAAGATAACCTAGTGTGGCCGAATACACCTCCCCCCCCCCCAAGTTGGCTGAGGGCCACCCGGGCGCGGGTTAATAACATGGCGCAACAGGTTTTGTTATCAACTTGTCCTTTTCACACATAGGCGACACTAGATATCACAGCCAACGCCTATCACCAAACTGGTGGTGGGCTTTGGCCAGCGATCGCCGATCGGGGCCAACGCGGGCTCTTACTCGGCCACAATCAGCAAGAATGATAAACTACAGCTGCTCCAGACCGGCCACTTCAATCCAGCGTGTAATCTTCAGTCCACATCAGAACCACTAGTGAAACTCTACTGAGTGGGCCAAATGCACTGCATCTTTGACCTCCTTTGCAGCTCTGGCTTTTCATAATTTGAACAGCCTTCTCTTTCCCACCCTTCTGTGCTGATGAATGATGATCCTTTGGAAACCTGGAAAAAGACAGTACAGACTCAGGGAGATGAAACTGTTTTGCTATGGGTCTGTTCCAGTCGCACTTCCTAACACATCTAAACTCCTCAAAGAGCAAGATAGAGGAGGTTGGAGCAGGGCCCTTCTTGGCTTTGTAGGGGCGAAAGCTGCCACTGGAACAGGGAAGCAATCTTGGAGGAGTTAAGAGGTGTTAGGAAGTGCGACTGGAACAGACCCTATGACAATGTCTGTGCATAGAGCAAGCAGATGGTAGAAGTGGTCAATTGGTGAGTGGAACAAATGCAAATGTCAGGAAAGCAGTCATATTTTGTGATAGACATGATGCAGATGTTGGCCAAGCTGACAAGGCAGATATAATTACCAGCTTGTTATACTAGTCTATAACTCATCATATTTTCATGTTTAACAGAGGGAATATAATGTAAAAAAGTCTTAGCCAGATGAAAGTAGATAATATAAGTTCTATAGAAAATGTTTATGTAAGTAATGTAGGATTTGTGGTTTTTAGAGGCTAGGTAAATGTGTTCCCTGTTCAACAATTCTTCAGCATTCAGACATTGATGTTAATGTACAATGTACATGCATCAACATACCTGTTGTGAAGTGATTCTGGGCTGCTTTCCTGAGCAGTTGATGGCCACCACTGGAATCTTAAAAACACAGCTAATTTTTTTCCATTTTGTTAACTATGACTGAGGATCTTCTGTGCTGAAAGAGAGAGACATCAGCTGATAGACATTGTACAATGTACAACTCATTTGTGAAACAAGATCAATTCCATTTAGGGGTAGGTCGTAGGATAATGGTGACATGAATGAATTTCAGTTTTCACTTTTCACCAGTCCAGGTACCTGGTGACAAAATGAAATATTGTAGGTGGTATCAATGATAATGTTTCTGGTAGAAAATGCAGGCATTTTAGAATTCATTTGAAGCTTTAGATGGAGGATTTTTGGAAAATATTTGCCACAAATAACATTGGAATCTCAGAAACAAAAATCAAATCTTACTTGATGTCAAAAACAAATCAAACTAGCTTTTATAAAATGTATGCACTCATGTAATCTTAACATGTAAAATGTCAGCTAAAACTTGTTTTACACTAAACCTGCTAAGCTAAGAAAAAAAGATAAATATGAGAAGCCCAAAACAAGTTATTGAAAATATAAACACAGGTAACGTTACAACAAAACTGAGTCAAAACACTCAAAACTAAGTGTTTCAATGAACGCAAGATTAATGTGTGTCACAGAAGCAGCTGTCCACTGTAAAGCAGAGTGGGCACAGCATGGTGAAAGCAGGAAGTGGTGCACAAAACTGAATTAAGAAGAGTGCCCGACTAACTGTATCTACATCCCTTTAATTTTGTAAGTACCTACATGTATACATGTAGGTACTTACAAAATTTGAGCACAATCAGCCAAAACTTAACTGTGAAGGAGGCCATGCCCACTCGCACATGAGAGGTGTGCAAAAACATGCCTGTAATACCTTATGCCTAGATACATAAAGATGAAAATGTGTTGTGTCTGTGTGCCTGGTTAGTGGCATGACGTGACATGACTATTATCAATACCTGACAGTACAATTATCATGATATTATCATTATTGCAATTGTAATAAATAATTATTAATTGAACTTTTCTTCTCACTTTATATAGCCAAAATACCTGAGATTTTTTAATATCAAGTTTGCGTACTCCAAAATCGTAACTTCTGCTTCCTCCAGTACTGTATAAGTTTGCGCAAGACTATTATCCATTAGATGTAGGGACGATCATGACCACTTGACTAAAAAATAGTTCACTTGGTTCTTACAAGCCTGTTAACTAAACTGCTGTCAATTTAGCAGCAGTTTGATTATCCAACTACAGTTTGATATTCAGGGTGCGCCGATTTCGCCCAAACCTACCCCAGGGACCAAGTTTGTCACGCTGAGCACGAATCTGGTGTCAGAAATCCGCTATTCTCAACCGATCACACAAATTTACCGTTTTTCAGTTCGTCCATCTACAGATTGACAAACTCCAGGGGCCCTCGATTTCGCCCAAAAATGGGTCTACGGGACCAAGTCTGACACGCTGAGCACAATTCTGGTGTCAGAAATCTGCTATTCTCAACCGATCACCCAAATTTACCGTTTTTGAGTTTGTCCATCTACAGATTGACAAACTCCAGGGGCCATCGATTTTGCCCAAAAATGGGTCTACGGGACCAAGTCTGACACGCTGAGCACGAATCTGGAGTCAGAAATCCGCTATTCTCAACCGATCACCCAAATTTACCGTTTGTGAGTTCGTCCATCTACAGATTGACAAACTCCAGGGGCCATCGATTTTGCCGAAAAATGGGTCTACGGGACCAAGCCTGACACGCTGAGCACGAATCTGGTGTCAGAAATCCGCTATTCTCAACCGACCACCCAAATTTACCGTTTTTGAGTTCGTCCATCTACAGATTGACAAACTCCAGGTGCCATCGATTTCGCCCAAAAATGGATCTAGGGGACCAAGTGTGACACGCTGAGCACGAATCTGGTGTTAGAAATCCGCCATTCTCAACCGATCACCCAAATTTACCGTTTCTGAGTTCGTCCATCTACAGATTGACAAACTCCAGGGGCCATCGATTTCGCCCAAAAATGGGTCTAGGGGACCAAGTCTGACACGCTGAGCACGAATCTGGTGTCAGAAATCCGCTATTTTCAACTGATCACCCAAATTTACCGTTTTTGAGTTCGTCCATCTACAGATTGACAAACTCCAGGGGCCATCGATTTCGCCCAAAAATGGGTCTAGGGGACCAAGTATGACACGCTGAGCACGAACCTGGTGTCAGAAATCCGCTATTCTCAACCGATCACCCAAATTTACCGTTTTTGAGTTCGTCCATCTACCTACAGATTGACAAACTACAGGGGCCATCGATTTGGCCCAAAAATGGGTCTAGGGGACCAAGTCTGACACGCTGAGCACGAATCTGGTGTCAAAAATCCGCTATTCTCAACCGATCACCCAAATTTACCGTTTTTGAGTTCGTCCATCTACAGATTGACAAACTCCAGGGGCCATCGATTTGGCCCAAAAATAGGTCTAGGGGACCAAGTCTGACACGCTGAGCACGAATCTGGTGTCAGAAATCCGCTATTTTCAACTGATCACCCAAATTTACCGTTTTTGAGTTCGTCCATCTACAGATTGACAAACTCCAGGGGCCATCGATTTCGCCCAAAAATGGGTCTAGGGGACCAAGTATGACACGCTGAGCACGAATCTGGTGTCAGAAATCCGCTATTCTCAACCGATCACCCAAATTTACCGTTTTTGAGTTCGTCCATCTACCTACAGATTGACAAACTACAGGGGCCATCGATTTGGCCCAAAAATGGGTCTAGGGGACCAAGTCTGACACGCTGAGCACGAATCTGGTGTCAAAAATCCGCTATTCTCAACCGATCACCCAAATTTACCGTTTTTGAGTTCGTCCATCTACAGATTGACAAACTCCAGGGGCCATCGATTTGGCCCAAAAATAGGTCTAGGGGACCAAGTCTGACACGCTGAGCACGAATCTGGTGTCAGAAATCCGCTATTCTCGACCGATCACCCAAATTTACCGTTTTTGAGTTCGTCCATCTACAGATTGACAAACTCCAGGGGCCATCGATTTCGCCCAAAAATGCGTGTAGGGGACCAAGTGTGACACGCTGAGCACGAATCTGGTGTCAGAAATCCGCTATTCTGAACCGATCACCCAAATTTACCGTTTTTGAGTTCGTCCATCTACAGATTGATTGAGATTGAGAATAGCGGATTTCTGACACCAGATTCGTGCTCAGTGTGTCAGACTTGGTCCCCTACTAGACCCATTTTTGGGCCAAATTGATGGCCCCTGGAGTTTGTCAATCTGTAGATGGACGAACTCAAAAACGGTAAATTTGGGTGATCGGTTGAGAAAAACGGATTTCTGACACCAGATTCGTCCTCAGCGTGTCACACTTGGTCCCCTAGACCCATTTTTGGGCGAAATCGATGGCCCCTGGAGTTTGTCAATCTGTAGATGGACGAACTCAAAAACGGTAAATTTGGGTGATCGGTTGAGAATAGCGGATTTCTGACACCAGATTCGTGCTCAGCGTGTCAGACTTGGTCCCCTAGACTCGTTTTTGGGCAAAATCGATGGCCCCTGGAGTTTGTCAATCTGTTGATGGACGAACTCAAAAACGGTAAATTTGGGTGATCGGTTGAGAATAGCGGATTTCTGACACCAGATCCGTGCTCAGCGTGTCAGACTTGGTCCCCTAGACCCATTTTTGGGCGAAATCGATGGCCCCTGGAGATTGTCAATCTGTAGATGGACGAACTCAAAAACGGTAAATTTGGGTGATCGGTTGAGAATAGCGGATTTCTGACACCAGATTCGTGCTCAGCGTGTCAGACTTGGTCCCCTAGAATCGTTTTTGGGCCAAATCGATGGCCCCTGGAGTTTGTCAATCTGTAGATGGACGAACTCAAAAACGGTAAATTTGGGTGATCGGTTGAGAATAGCGGATTTTTGACACCAGATTCGTGCTCAGCGTGTGAGATTTGATCCCCTAGACCCATTTTTGGGCCAAATCGATGGCCCCTGGAGTTTGTCAATCTGTAGATGGACGAACTCAAAAACGGTAAATTTGGGTGATCGGTTGAGAAAAACGGATTTCTGACACCAGATTCGTGCTCAGCGTGTCACACTTGGTCCCCTAGACCAATTTTTGGGCGAAATCGATGGCCCCTGGAGTTTGTCAATCTGTTGATGCACGAACTCAAAAACGGTAAATTTGGGTGATTGGTTGAGAATAGCGGATTTCTGACACCAGCTTCGTGCTCAGCGTGTCAGACTTGGTCCCCTAGACTCGTTTTTGGGCAAAATCGATGGCCCCTGGAGTTTGTCAATCTGTAGATGGACGAACTGAAAAACGGTAAATTTGGGTGATCGGTTGAGAATAGCGGATTTCTGACACCAGATTCGTGCTCAGCGTGTCAGACTTGGTCTCCCTAGCCCATTTTTGGGCCAAATGGATGGCCCCTGGAGTTTGTCAATCTGTAGATGGACGAACTCAAAAACGGTAAATTTGGGTGATCGGTTGAGAAAAGCGGATTTCTGACACCAGATTCGTGCTCAGCGTGTCACACTTGGTCCCCTAGACCCATTTTTGGGCCAAATTGATGGCCCCTGGAGTTTGTCAATCTGTAGATGGACGAACTCAAAAACGGTAAAATTGGGTGATCAGTTGAGAATAGCGGATTTCTGACACCAGATTCGTGCTCAGCGTGTCAGACTTGGTCCCCTAGACCCATTTTTGGGCCAAATCGATGGCCCCTGGAGTTTGTCAATCTGTAGATGGACGAACTCAAAAACGGTAAATTTGGGTGATCGGTTGAGAATAGCGGATTTCTGACACCAGATTCGTGCTCAGCGTGTCAGACTTGGTCCCTGGGGCAAGTTTGGGCGAAATCGACGCACCCTGAATATCAAACTGTAGTTGGATAATCAAAGTGCTGCTAAATTGACAGCAGTGTTAACTAACTACACAAGGGGAGGGGGCACTGCAAAAGGGTATGGAAATCGCCACATTTGTCTCATGATGTTTGATGCATAATAATCGGTATCAAAATATCGTCGTATTATTATACAAGGTCACCAAAGAATGAGCCAACGTTATTTATCAAATATCAAAGCAAATTGGCAATATCTAGCACAACGAAACACATAATTCAACACCTAACGATGCCGGCCGAGTCCCCGATACCAACATGGCGACCGCTCAAGTCCAACCTTGAGTCCAACTGGCCGGCAACTGGCCAATTAGGACGTTCGTATAATTGCATGCAGATTGATATCAATCTCGTACATGCAGATTCCGGACCCTTTCAAATCGCCTCAAAATTGGCATGTAGACCAAACAGGACAGGCTGATCACGAATCCGAAGTCCATTCCGAGGCACATGTGAAACTTTTCCCGTAATTGACGAATTACGGATCGGCATGCAGATTCCGGACCCTTTCAAATCGCCTCAAAATCGGCATGTAGACCAAACAGGACACGCTGATCACGAATCCGAAGTCCGTTCCGCGGCACATATGAAACTTTCCCGTAATTGACGAATTACGGATCGGCATGCAGATTCCGGACCCTTTCAAATCGCCTCAAAATCGGCATGTAGACCAAACAGGACACGCTGATCACGAATCCGAAGTCCGTTCCGCGGCACATATGAAACTTTTCCCGTAATCGACGAATTACGGATCTGCATGCAGATTCCGGACCCTTTCAAATCGCCTCAAAATTGGCATGTAGACCAAACAGGACACGCTGATCACGAATCCGAAGTCCGTTCCGAGGCACATATGAAACTGTTCCCGTAATTGACGAATTACGGATCGGCATGCAGATTCCGGACCCTTTCAAGTCGCCTCAAAATCGGCATGTAGACCAAACAGGACACGCTGATCACGAATCCGAAGTCCGTTCCGCGGCACATATGAAACTTTTCCCGTAATTGACGAATTACGGATCGGCATGCAGATTCCGGACCCTTTCAAATCGCCTTAAAATCGGCATGTAGACCAAACAGGACACGCTGATCACGAATCCGAAGTCCGTTCCGCGGCACATATGAAACTTTTCCCGTAATTGACGAATTACGGATCTGCATGCAGATTCCGGACCCTTTCAAATCGCCTCAAAATTGGCATGTAGACCAAACAGGATACGCTGATCACGAATCCGAAGTCCGTTCCGCGGCACATATGAAACTTTTCCCGTAATTGACGAATTACGGATCTGCATGCAGATTCCGGACCTTTTCAAATCGCCTCAAAATCGGCATGTAGACCAAACAGGACACGATGATCACGAATCCGAAGTCCGTTCCGCGGCACATATGAAACTTTTCCCGTAATTGACGAATTACGGATCTGCATGCAGATTCCGGACCCTTTCAAATCGCCTCAAAATCGGCATGTAGACCAAACAGGACACGCTGATCACGAATCCGAAGTCCGTTCCGCGGCACATATGAAACTTTTCCCGTAATTGACGAATTACGGATCGGCATGCAGATTCCGGACCCTTTCAAATCGTCCGAATTACGGATCTGCATGCAGATTCCGGACCCTTTCAAATCGCCTCAAAATTGGCATGTAGACCAAACAGGACAGGCTGATCACGAATCCGAAGTCCGTTCCGAGGCACATATGAAACTTTTCCCGTAATTGACGAATTACGGATCGGCATGCAGATTCCGGACCCTTTCAAATCGCCTCAAAATCGGCATGTAGACCAAACAGGACACGCTGATCACGAATCTGAAGTCCGTTCCGCGGCACATCTGAAACTTTTCCCGTAATTGACAAATTACGGATCTGCATGCAGATTCCGGACCCTTTCAAAACGCCTCAAAATCGGCATGTAGAACAAACAGGACACGCTGATCACGAATCTGAAGTCCTGTTTGGTCTACATGCCGATTTTGAGGCGATTTGAAAGGGTCCGGAATCTGCATGCAGATCCGTAATTCGTCAATTACGGGAAAAGTTTCATATGTGCCGCGGAACGGACTTCGGATTCGTGATCAGCGTGTCCTGTTTGGTCTACATGCCGATTTTGAGGCGATTTGAAAGGGTCGGGAATCTGCATGCCGATCCGTAATTCGTCAATTACGGGAAAAGTTTCATATGTGCCTCGGAACGGACTTCGGATTCGTGATCAGCCTGTCCTGTTTGGTCTACATGCCAATTTTGAGGCGATTTGAAAGGGTCCGGAATCTGCATGTACGAGATTGATATCAATCTGCATGCAATTATACGAACGTCCAATTAGGGAGCTTGTTTGTCATTTCTGGGTGGGATTAAAAAACATGCTTTTTCGTCGGGAACGTTCTACCTGGTTTATATAGCCTTGGTCTCTGCGATCGAAAAAGAGCGCTAGCAGCGCGCCACTAGACGCCGCAATTGTCAAAAGTGGCGTGTTAGTATGCTTTGTTATGAATGGTGTGTGTAAAAGTGAGTTTTTATGTTGTTTATTTGGAGGAAATGGTTGGAATAAAATTAGTTATTTTTATTTCTGTTGGTTGGAGTTTTTATTCAAAAGATTTCGGTCTAAAGCATTGATATTTACTGAAAATACCTTCGTTTGAATAAATTGCAGATATTTGGCAACTGAAGTGTTAGATAAGCCTAAATCATACGTAAAAAGGTAAGAGACACCCTGATTATCATTTTAGAGACGGAAATATATGAATTTCCCTTATAAGACTCTCAATATGCTACTCCGCGGTTTATGCCCCGAGGGTGTCCGAGGGTTCCCGTTAGTTTGTCGTTGGCGTCGGCTCGCGCGCGAGCCGACGTCATCGCCCGTGACGTCGGCTCGCGGAATGCGTCATACCCTGCACACAAAATAGCCGGCTGCCGAACAGCGCTCATGCCTACTAAGCAAAAAAAAAAAAAGTTGCCCGAAGTCGTATTTCTCAGGTGCAAAACGCAAAACGGCGCCATGCAGCTTCGCCACCACCCAGTGGCCGCCCCCCCCCCCCCCTAGACAGACACGACTCCACGCGGGTCACTCATGGGTCGACGACCCAAAGACCCCGCCCCTGGCGGTCAAGTGTATGGACCATCACTCGGTTAGACGGCCCTAAGCCCCCGGCGCTCTGGGTCACGTGTCTAGCCGGCCGGACCGGGCGGGCGAACAGTGGGACGGACCGTGCCTCGCGCATGTCTTCGCCAAAACAATCGGGAGCCTCTTGATTGCACATAATTCGTCGACTGAAGACTTCCATCTCAATTCAAATTGCCCAGACTCACTCTCAAGGTTTGACTTGCCAACGATACAAAGGGCATCGAAACATACAGATACGGCTTTATATATCGTGACACGTTGCCCAGACGTACAACTTACAAGCTGAAAACAGAGCACACTAAATATATTCTGACACACTGAATACAGTATTATATACTGCATAATATTATAATGCAACCTTGCAATCAGGACAGCCCAGAATATTTACCGTCCAAAGCGTCCAGTTGACCACGTAAAAAGGACAGTGGACGCAGTTACATAGTTCAACAATTTCACCATAGTAAACAGAGGCACAGCTCACATACTTGAATCATGCATAACCCACACTTAAGCACTAGAACTGATTTAGTACACACCTTTAGTGCCTTGGTACACACTATTTACACATCCACCCACCCAAACACTACTGATAGTTATCACTGACGTCATAACGACATCACATCAGTCGGCGTGTGGTCTGTGGCAGACCATGACAAGTCAGAAAGACCCCTCTCTACTATACAGAAGGCATACTCATTACTCAACCTACCCTTTCTCCTAACCCCATTCTAACTCAGTGATGTATCCAAATCACTGCTTCCCCGGCGCTGCAGGGTGTGGTGATTCAATAGTCAATAGTCATCGACTCTAGAAACTTAAAATGACTCTCATCATCGAGCAATAGGTCACCACTCTCACCAAATACTTGTCACCGTTGAATGTCGCCATATTAAGCTCTAACCAAGAGTCGCTTTATCATCGATCGTCGGTTCAGTCCAATCTCACAATTTCATACTGTTCACATTCTGGGAGTTACGTATCACGGGTTTATGTCCAATGGCAACTCCAAAGCCGCACCCAGGCTGGCATCAGTACAGCGCTGGATAGGCAAGAAAGAATGCAAGAGCTTTATGAAACTTTCAGCTCCTCCCCAATAATAAAAGGCTGAAGCCTGGGGCAGATCTGGACCCAAAGCCTTCTAATGGTGTGATTCTGCCATGGTAATAGCCTACATTCTACCACTGCTGAAATACTTTGCTGGTAAGGCGTGGTGGTCACCGATGCCAAAAATAAAGCATCTTTAGTCGGCCATTGGTGATCTTGAATTGATCACAGCTAGCGTTGACGCTGTATTACAGCCACCGAGCTTAGACATTGCTTACTCACATCTCAAATCTAGGATGTTCATTGTCCAATGTCACAGCATAATTATTGGGACACGCCCAATCCACCGCAGTCAGCCTGACCAGTGTTCACTACACGAACCATATTGCTACGGGCACCTCCGTCCGGCCATATTGCGAAGCACCTAAGTCGCCGTCCACTGGTTAGGCGCGCTTTCAGCGCCTAATCGTTTAGGCGCTGAATACCATTTTCGGCGCCTAATTTAACGATGACTATGCGATGAATTTGATTTCATCGGGATCCGCCATGATAGCTCAAGGACAATTCGATAAAAAATGCATGAAAATGTAATATAATTTGTGGTAATGCACATCACTGACAGATAAATAATAATTATTTATATAATTAATTGCGCCTTTGACCGTGGTTTAATTTGTGTCAGTTTCTTATATGAACCGTAAAAGGTTCATTAAATTGTTCTTGAAGACAATACAATCTCTTAGCAGGGACGGAAATGTAAACAACGTTTGTTATTGTTCTCACATCAGCTAAAAGTCCGTCATTATTCAATTAACTATTCACGACATGGAGCTAAACATCGCACGAATCGCACTAAGCACGACTCGAATCCGGGTGGAGCAGGAGCGCCGTCGAGCCCGACGCAGGTACTGGGTTGCCGAAGTGCTGCAGAGGCGACAAGCCCGAGGCGAGTTTTTTAACTTGGTGCAGGAGCTGCGTGCCGTGGATCCCGACCGGCACCATGCCTACTTCCGCATGAGTCGGGAGACCTTCGACCTGCTTCTCGCCAAGATCGGGCCCAGCATCACGCGCCAGCGCACCAACTTCCGCGAACCTATCGACCCCGCTCAGCGCCTGGCCGTGACGCTGCGGTACCTGGCCTCCGGCATGGAGTTTTCTGCGCTGGCACCCTGCTATCGCCTCGGCGAGAAAACCGTGCGTGCCATCGTGTACGACACATGCGCGGCCATCATCGCCATACTGGGACCGGAGGTGCTTCCAGCTCCCACCAGGGCGACGTGGGAGCGAAGCGAGGAGATCTTCCGCACCCAGTGGAATTTCCCGAACTGCGTGGCCGCGTTGGACGGGAAGCATGTGGTACTCCAAGCCCCTTCCAACTCTGGCAGCGAGTACTATAACTACAAAAAGTCCTTCAGCATCGTCCTCCTGGCAGCCGTGGACGGTGCCTATCGGTTCGTGTACACGTCAGTGGGAAGCGCCGGAAGAGAGTCGGACGGGGGCATTTTTAGGAGGAGTGACCTAGCCGCCAAACTGCAAGACGGCACTCTCGACCTGCCCCCTCCCAAGGCGATCGATCAGAGAGGCACGACCCTACCAAGCGTCATCGTCGCCGATGAAGCTTTCCCGCTGACGGTGCACATGATGCGGCCCTATCCCGGACGTACCGAGAGCCGGCTGGGAGCTCCGGCCACCATCTTCAACTACCGGCTGTCGCGCGCCCGACGGGTAGTGGAGAACGCGTTCGGGATTCTCTCCCAGACGTGGCGCATCTTCCGGCGTCCGCTGAACGTCAATCCTGAGCACGCCTGCACTATTGTCAGGACGGCGTGCATCCTGCACAACTACGTGCGCGACCAAGGACAGGCGGACAGCCAGCAGCCGCAGCAGGCCGACGCCAGCGGCGAGCAGGTGGGCGGACTCTGCGAGCTGGGCAGGCTGGGCGCCAACAACTTCACTCGGGAGGCCGAGCGCATCCGCGACCAGTTCGCCCGGTACTTCATGGCCGAGGGAGCCGTCCCCTGGCAGGATGCTGCTGTCGGGCAGTGAGGGCGTGTAAGCCTGTCACTTCGTGGCTGGGGAGCCGTTCCGCAGCAGGCTGCTTCTGTCGGCAAGTGAGAGGTGCGAGAGGCGGGAATTGAGTCGTCTTTGACGCCACTGGTGTTGCTCCGTGTGATAATGCTGTTTCATTTGTCACGCTCAAAAACCTGTCATATAAATACAAGCATTTCCGGCCTTTGTCGTTTATTGCACGCGAAAGTAGTGGAAATAAATAACATTAACTGTCGCCCTTTCCAACAACCAAAGTCAGATAACCACGTAACGTCCAACTTCAACTTCACAGCAAAGGAGCTCAAACATTTAAACACCAGGTAAACGAATTCACTCCTAAATCAAAACTTGAAAAAGGGTCGCTATAGCGATCAGACAGCGGAAATACACACTACGCAGAATATGACTCAGGCTCAGCAAAGTTCGCCATGGTGGAGGTTGCATGGAGAGGGGACGCATTTGGCCGCATCACATTATCTCAGAATCAAAGGAAGCTGGAAAGACGCCGAACAGGCATTATATAGCTCGCTATAAGCAGACATGTGCATGGATCCGGGAAAATGGATCTGAAATTCGATCCCATGAATCTAGATCTGGGATCCACCCGGATCATAGATCCAACCCCTCAACTTTGTCGAGAGATCCACTCAGATCATAGATCCAACCCCTCAACTGTGTCGAGAGATCCACTCAGATCATAGATCTTACCCATAAGCTCGAGAGATCCGCTCAGATCATAGATCCACCTCTCGGATCCATGCACATGTCTGGCTATAAGATCGTTTTGAATCATTCTGGTCATTTTTTATCAAATATGTGTGAAAAACGTCCCCCCTCCCCCACCCGTGCGAAGGTTATCACCTGCTTTTAATCGGACTGCGCCCTTTTCAAGACTGTAAGAATCTCCAGTCTCGCATCCGCTTTCTTGTCGTCCCTCACACGCTCCATCTCCAACCCCACCAGCTGACCAAATAGTAGGTCCGGGTTACGGAGGTCGCTCACCGCGCGTTCTATGGACGCTATGGCGGCGTCAAGCTTCTCGGCGCCACGAGCACCCGGCCCCCTGACCTGCTTGACTTGGCCGTTGGTGCCAGAAGAGCGCGGATGGCTCGGGCCGGCGACACAGCTCGCTGCTGGTGGCACCGCGGACACCCGAGGCGTTCCGAGGAGCGTCGCAGCTGGGAGGACTCCTGAACTGACTGCACAGCTCGCTGCTGGTGGCACCGCGGACATCCGAGGCCCTCCGAGGAGCGTCGCAACTGGGAGGACTCCTGAGGCACAGCTCGCTGCTGGTGGCAACCAGGACACCACAGTTAGATCATCGTGGCTTACAGACGAGCAGTTAAAATACACGCCGTCCTAGGCTCAGATCGATGTATGACTGGCTTACAGGCACTGATAGACACTAGAGTCCTCGTTTGTTACGTTGTTGTCAAATGACGAGGTTATGCTTTTCGGAGTCCTAATGACGAATTTCATGTAAGTTTTGATTTAAGATTATGTCTTTATGCGTTTGGGGTAGGTCAAGTCAGGTCAGTTTAACCAGATGGCGCCATGTCGGCTATCCGTAGTTACAGGTGTCAGCCACCAGTGGCAGTTTCGTATTATGCTATGATGGCTGCATACCATTTGAACAAACTCACCAGCACTGTCGTCTGGTAGTTGAGTCTCGCTGCTGTCCTCATCAGACACACAAAGCTGAAACACATGATGATTACGTGAGTGAAGATTGATGCGAGATATTTGATAGGTCACCAAAAATGGTTAGAAAATGAAATTCGGCCAATTGCAAGGTTCGTTTGGATGTTGACTACGACCGAATTCTTCCGAACACCCTAGACCGAATTCTTCCGAATTTAACATTTTTGAAAAACGCCCCGAAAATCACGATTAAACAGCCGCAATAACACTAATTAGCATTGGATCTCTTTTGACCCCTGTACTTAACCTTCGCCCGAGTGCCCGTGTTTTGGCCACACTTGCCAGTTTTGTTTGCGCGCTTCAAGAAAACCGCGGCGCGCAGCGCCGCGAAACATGGTATAGCATATGATACATCAATTTCGCATCGTTTTTGAAAATTTTGACCCCAGGTCACGTAAGTTCCTTTTCAAATCTTAGTGATTAATCTGCGCCCTGCTGCTGGTTTTTTGCGAGTATATCAAAAACGTATCTCGGTTACTTTTATAAAACTTACAAAAACCTTTATTTGGGAGCTGAATTCCAATCAGGAATACATTTGGGCATTTCGAATTTCGACCGGCTTTGAAAACTGGTCCAGTAGTCTCGTAAATAACAGGGCAGAGACCCTCTTACTAGCTCCTCTACAGGGCGGAGTCTGGGAATAACAATGGGCCTGAGGAGGCGATTGTTAAGGTGCATGATGACCAAAAGGTTTTAAATGAAACTTGGCAACACTGTTCGTTAAAAACAAATGAACAAACAAACAAGAAAAAAACAATCAATGTAAACAGCTAGAACAGGCCTGTTGCATGTCACGGCATTGCTTTATTAATTTCCAACGAAATCACTGCATTGAAAGGAGTCATGAAACGCCCAAGATCGGATATGGATCATCATTTAGAGTGACCCAGAAATCACTTTACACACCTCATTGGAGTATTGGTTTGTGTAGTAGAATAAGGATTGCGATCCTGTTCCAGGCTGCGTCAAGTTTGTCGTTACCCTGCATAGGAAAGGAAGGAACGTAGCATTTGATACATGACAGGAATACAACAGGTTTTCTAATGGAAAAGTGATATGGACTGGGAGGGGTAAAAAAAAAACTCAGAAGTCAGCACAGCAACTAATTAATACGACAGTGAAGTTCATTGCTTATGCTTATTGCTCCAGTAATGGAGCACTACTGGGCAATGTGCAAGATCTGTGCTACTGGAATACAACATTTTTGAAAAAAAGACTTTTCATCTCTATGTCCTAATGCAAAGATCCAGGACGTGCACTAAAATCCAGGACATACATCCTACTGCAGTTAACTTACGGTTTAGGCTTGATGGCATCATCCAAAAATGACATTTCCTTTTGCCAGGAGGAGTTCTCTGGTGGCGGGCAGCCAGAGCCACTTGGCAATTGCCTGCGTTTGCGTAGGTGGTAGTCACGCAGACTTTTCCATTTCGATTTTGCATCCTGAACTGAAAAGCAGGGAATAAAATTGGTGAGAGCCTTGAAAATTTATTTTGTCAAGCGACATGTGTTTGTTACCTGAGAGACATCACAATTATACAAGCACCACGGATGTGTAAGGGTTCGCATTTTAAAGCTTAGAACCCAATTCTAAAAACGTGGCAGAGCCTGTGGCTGTTGGCACCATTTACAACACGTACAAGCAAAATATGATGCGTAAGTTTTACCTGATCT